TAGTGCGGGCTTGGACGAACCAAACAATTTCCCTTTAAATAATGCATATATATATATATATATATATATATATATATTAAGATATTTAAATTCGTTTTTTCTTTTGATCGGGTCAATCCGGTCCAAGTTTGGATCAAGGTCCCATAATTTTTTTTCAGGTTCGTCGGTCAAAAAAGGGTAATGAGAAAATTACATAAAAATCTGTTATACTTTGCGTTATTACCAAAATAGTTTATGTTATTAAATGTACGTCTGTTTTTTACCTTTTATAACGTAATTTTGTTAAACAAACCACTTTACCTTTTTTCTGATGTTGAACATTTGAATTTGTGGGATTTTTGGATGTTCATCATCCGAAAATAGGCCTAAAGTTAGATGTTAAATTTCCTATTTTCGGATGCTGAACATCCAAAATTAAGGAATTTTCGGATGTTTAACATCTGAAAATACCCCGATAGTTTAACGTTAAGTATAATATTTTCGGATGTTGAACATCCGAATTTAAGAGATTTTCGGACGTTCAACATCAGAAAACAAAGAAGACGAAAGTTTATTTTACTATCAGGGTATTTTTTGATGTTGAACATCCGAAAATCTCTTAAACTCGAATGCTCAACATCCGAAAATGTTATACTTAACGTTCAACAATTGGGGTACTTTCGGATGTTGAACATCCGAAAAAGAGTAAAGTGATCTTTTTAAAAAATTACATTATAAAAGGTAAAAAATAGACATACATGTAATAACGGAAACTATTTGGTATATTCGTAATAACACAAAGTATAACGGATTTTTATGTAATTTTCTCAAGGGTAATTAAAAAAAAAAATGCTCAATATTATTTGTAAGGAAAACTATACAAATAGGCCATATATCTTTTGTACAAGAAGGTGACAATCATTCTTGTCCCTTAAATTTCAAAATAGGCGATTGTAAGAGTGTCATTGAAGTGTGCGATTTGCATACAGATGCATCCGTAGGTGTTGAGGTAAGGTGCACCTTCAAATTCTATCATGGTATATAATTTTGTTATAAAATGTTCTTAGGATTATCTCAAAATCTATTTTTATATTTAATTATAAAATTTTAATTTTAAAAAATGGTTAAAATCAAGTAGATCTATAAACATATGAAAATCTTGAAAATGGATCGTGTAGATAATATGTTGTAAAATACACTATTTTTTAGAATTAAAATCTTTTTATTTTTCATAGTCATACATCTCGATGTCGAGATGATCAATCAAAGGGTTTTTCAACATTAAAACTACCTTTTCCGATGGATTTTTTAGGGGCATCCGTAGGTCTACATCATAAGGTAGCATCCTTATATAAATGTTTTCTGTCATTGAATAGGCACAAAGTTCTAATACAATTCTCGGACTTCATAACACACCCAAACCATCCAATTTGACATCTAATGAGTGTGAATACATCTGACCTAGTAATAAAGATAAATGATCTCCTTGTAGATAATCTCTATTTTTAAAATGAGATTTTACAATGAGACTATTTATCTTTATTTCAAAGTCATAATTACTACTAGCCATTGTCAAATTGGATGGCTTGAGATATGTCACAAAGTCCAAGACTTTTTTAATTTTTTTTTTTTTTTTTGGGTAATTCAGTGGGGATGACGAGCCCCTACCTATTTTTTGAAATCGTTAGAGGTTTTTTAATGCGTTTGGTGAGAATGAAAGCCTACATCTTAGCTGGGGCAGAAGTGGTGCTACCACCACGACCCCAACCAGAACCCCATTCTCACTTTTTTAAAACTTTGAGTCTAATTAATAACACATTCATAACCAACCATTTTAAAACCTGACGGATCGGATGGGTTGTGACCTACTTGTATTAGAAGTACTAGTGTTATGCATGTGATCTGATATAGTTATAATTGAATAATTTTTCATTTGGAAACAACATTTTCGAGAAGGCAACATTTGATTATTAAGTTATTTTTAATAGAATAAGAATGATTAATTATATTCATGTTAACTATTTTTGACAAATACTATTAATTGATATAAAATAAAAAAGTATAAAAGTTCCATTATTTATCAGTAAATTTATATATTTATCACATACTATTGTAATAGAATATGTAATATTTAATTGAAATATTGATAATTAATTGATTTATATAATTATATTTAATAATTTATTATTATTGATGAATGATATTACCAATTAATTGAAAAAAGGCTTAAATGATGACCAGAATTCATGTAGCTGACTCCAACTGAGTTGCGAAAAGGCTTAAATGATGATGATGATGATTATATAACTATAATAAATCAGAATAATGAAAACATACTGCACATTTATGATAGCAATAAAATAATGTCCCAAAAAAAAAAAACACACAAGTTACATATAATTATAGTTTTATCATTAATATCATAACTAAGATTATGCTATAAATAAATAAAAATTCCATCAAAAATAAATAAAATCCAAAATAACTATCGAATTCATAATTTGATGGTTGGAATTAAATAAAAGAAATAAACAGTCAATGCTTACATGTGAATTTACAAAATTGGGACTTCAAAAAAAAAGAGTTACACTTGATGTTTCATCTGCAAGTCACATTAGCAAATAATAGAACTATCATAATAAATGAAAAAAAAATCCTTAATTTTTTACAATAATATTTCAAAGGAAAACCCTGAATTTTTATTAAAATTTAATACCCTGGTATATAGGGATATGAGCTCCCAACCAATAAAAAACATACATTATGATAATTTATCCGTCTCAATCAAGTTACTATTTCCCATGTCTATGTTTACGGACAAGCTTTTTATGCTTCCAATACAATATAAAACTTATATACTTCCCCTTATCCAACCATCCATTCTGAATGGAGGGCTAAGATTGCCCCAATCACAATGTCACGTCTCTATACTATTTTATTTTTAATTTGTTTTTCTAGAAACTATTTTAACATCAAATTTTGTATGTCCAATCCTCTATTAAATTCGCACTAGCGAAAAATATAAAAAACAATTTTCAATAACATAAAATAACCAAAATACCTCTGGAAGTTTTAAAGGTATTTTGGTCAATATATTTTATCAAAAAATTATTTTTAATATTTTTTATAGGTGCACCCCAATGAGAAGATGACACATATCAAATTTCTTATTCATACAATTTGTATAAAAAAAACTAAAAATAAGATATTTTGCGACATCAAATCTAAGATCAAACGATGAGTGGCTCTCTTAATCAAAATTGAACTGGATGGTAGGGAAAACATACATCTTCTATGCTATAGAGGAAGTATAGAAACCTTTTCCTATTTTTAATGGGAAATATATGGGTTAAGTAAAGAAATATGTATTAATATCACCTCTCACCCCTAAATATCTCCTACTCACTCTTTCCTTATCTCTCGCAATGCCTTTTTCCTTAAATCTCTCCCCCCTCTTATTCTTGAAATTAGGTATTGATCAATATATAAATTCTTATCACGCTTTTGTATATAATAAGGCTAATGCTTCCTTAATGGATTAATATAGGAAAAATTATAAATACCCCCCAATTTCAACTTTCCACACATACTACTTCAGTTACTTTCTGCATTATACCCCAAACTCCAACATTCTTTTCTCTTATATCTACGCTCAGTCAAATAATCAATGAATTTTAAGATCAAAATGCCCCTTATTCTTTCTCTTCCCCGTTTGAAAAGATGTCTCGTGCTACCTATTTGCCTTAAAAAATTCACTCTCACTCTCTCCACCATCTCTTCCATTCTCTCTTTGGCCCCCACTCTCATTCTCATTCCCTTTATCCATTCTCTCTCTCCCTACCCACCATCCCTCCAATTCTCTCTCGATACCAAATGATACAAGACTTGAAAATACGGTCCAGTAAAATTGGCGCCAGACCAAAAAATTTTTTTTACGGTCTACCAAAAAATGTGTCGGACCGTAAAAAAAAAATTCAATAGTACAAAGTGTGTCGGACCTCATTTTTTAAGCCTACAACTTACTGGAAAATTATTGGTCTGCCGAACCGACACAAAATATGCTAGACCGCATTTTTTTAGCCATAAGACTTTTGGAAAGTTACTGGTATGGACCGAAATTTCGGGGTTTGGCATTTTATAAAATAAAAATATCAAATTTGTAAAAAGAATAAAAAAAGCATAATTAGTAAGCTAATAGTCTCAAAATTGTAAAATTTGAAAGGATTTTAGTAAACCCAAGAAGCTAATAGAGAAAATTTCGAAAAGGGGGGTAAAGGTCATCTTCCCTTAATCTAATTATATTTTATTGATTAAATAACGTAAATTTAATTTATTGTGTGAATCAGAAATAAATAATATTATCATTTTGCTCGAGTAAGTTGAATAATTTGAATAATGATAATAGCATTTTTTAATTGTTGTGGTTTTATACCAGTTAATCATAGAGCTCTAGACGTTGTCAAATTTTAAACACTCTTAAAAATGTTGTTTAACCAAATGAGTTTCTTGTAATTGTTGTAGTTTGGCACTATATTTATTTGTGCCGTTACCATTTAACTTAATTATATTTTATTTATAAATTTAATTTATTGTGTGATTCAAAAATAAAGAAGAATATCATTTAGCTTGAGTAATTATGCTTTAGTAATTTGAATAATGATAATAGTATTATCTAATTGTTGTGTTTACTTCCATAAATATAGTGTTGTATACAATTGTGACCATTATATATCTTAATTAATTGATTAGCAAAATATTAATTTGAAGTATAATGACACTTACATAAATAATGTATTAGCATTGTTCACTAGTAAGGACGAATTATATATAATTAATATGTACCTTATAATTAATACAAAGAATTAATAAGCATAACATATTAGAATGAAAACTTATATTCATAATAATTAACATGATTACAGATAAACTTTATAGTTATTAAAATTTCGTAATGACATTGGCAGACAAATGCAGGAGTATACGAACATCACATCATTTGGAGAAACACTTTGGAAAAGACAAAAAAATAATCACTTTGGAACCATTTCATAGCCACATAAGATTTTGTGATAGCATTAGAAAAATGCTAGGTATTCTTCTCGGGTGACCTGATCACATTAACCAAGGCTATAGAGCCCATTCAACATGAAATGACTCACCAAGACTCCTTGTTCATACAGCTGTTTTTGAACATTCCAATTCCTTCGCTGGACAATCTTCTGCTCCACAACATGTTCCCTTGTCTTTAGAAAAGTCCTGCTGACCCATTGAGTTCATGATACTTCTTTCATTGAGTAGTCTCACAGATGAAGGATGTGGAACTTTTGTCGATGTTCTGTGCGTACATCCCAGGTCTGAGTAAGGCTATTTCTAAGAACTAAAAGGTATACCATTTAGGCCCACAGCAAACAAGTGCCTCTTCAGTGCTTACTACAAGCTTGAACTCAGGCTGAGCTCATGCTAAATGAAACTATACACTCTCAGTTCCCTCATATCCAAATTTGTAATTTAACAGAAACTCTATTGGACTCCTCCTGAATGAACCAACAGGTTCCATTTAGATATGCACAAAACAGTAATGCAAAGTAATGATTGCCCGATATTATTCTTTATAAGGTGGCAATATAGATCATGCACGGCACATGTAATCAAACCCTTTTAGTAACTATATCAGTAAGTCTACCACTTACAATCCAAAAACAACAAAATAAAGTTATTACAAGTCAAGAATCCTAACTTGCTGCCATCTAGCAAACTTTTTTTCATTGATAAAAATCAGAAAATTACAACAACTAAATGAATAAAGAACAATAGGAAACGTTCTACTGGAAAAAGTTGTCTTGGAACACCTCCAAAAGATTTTAGCACATCCCAATCCGGATTACCTAACTCAACGACGAACCGATCATAATCCCTGCTGAATTTTCTTAAGATGGAAGCTTCATGACAAACCAAGAATATTAGATGGCTAGAAGGGAGCAAAACCAAGTATGTGCCATGAAGGCGTGGCACAACACAATATGACTCACATTGCCAAGTCAAAACTAAGGCTAGGAATGGGCTAGGCAGCCATGCCTGGCCCTAAAAAAACAGAGCCTGGGCCCTAACATGTTGCCCGTAAGCCTGGCAATGGGCCACACCTGGACTGAGCCCACATTGACCGTGGCCCTTAATCCTTGAGCCTGGCCCAAGCCCAAGCCCGGATCACGATCAATGAACGATGGACAGAAGATATTTTCAACACTCAAGCCTAACTTTTGCTAGAATTTGAGCCATGGATGCCTTCTCAAAACATAACACAGAGGTATTGGTCTGGTTCCATCCATGCTTGAGAAAATGCATGGGGACTTGGCTTAGATTTTGGGGACTTGAATGATTGACATCAATCACATTCCTATTTCTTAGATATTTAAAGATTAATTCAATTTTCTTCTTTCCAAAAGAATAAATAAGTAGTGTTTCTAAGAAGGGTCCCAGTAAGAGCCAATGCACCAAATTAGAGGGAAAAAACCAAAACAGAAAAGCTAAACAAAAAGAGCCAACCTCAGAATAGCTTTGTTTGGTAAATAAAACTAAAAACAAAAATCCCAATTAGAGAGAATGAAGCCAAACAAAGTCCCAACTACAGAGAAAAACGTTAAACAAAGTCCCAATTAGAGAGAATAAAGCCGTATATAAAAAGAAAAAATAATTAAAGTCAATAACATTCCAAAAAAAGGTCCCAATAATGCTCATAACTCAATCCTCTTGCTCTAATGGACGAGAATCCTCCCCCTAGTCGATGGATTCCTTCCTTGTCAAACTTATACCAAATAAAATAAAGGTTTAGCAATAACCAAAGTAGCAATGATAATCTACACAACAATTAATCAACTTCAAAGATTAAATAGCAATGATTATAAAAGCAATGACTAACTAACTTCAAATGAAAAGTAAGTTACATACAGTATGCAAGCAACCAATCTTAGAATACAAATGAAAGCCTCTACATGCTTTGGCTTCAAGGAACTCCAATACAAATTAAGAACACGACCTCCAGTGCTAAATGTAGCCTCTGAAGATACAGATGAAATAGGAATCGCTCTGATATCACGGGCCATGCAAGAAAGAATAGGGTACCGAACTGCAAAAGATCTCCAAATATCTAAGATTTCAATGTTTTGTTTGTTGTCGACCCTCAATTCTTCCAGGTAATGTTCTAACTCGTTCTTTGTTTCTAGCACCACATCCACACTTAGAAATCTCTCTAAGGGTCTGTTTGACACCCCGATATCCTAATATTTCAAGACAATATATAATCTATTGTAATTTGAATTATACAATTAACATGCCTAGTTTGATAGGACTAAATTATATCTTCTTATATTCAGATAACCTCCAAATTTCTGAATCACCAAAAGTTCAATTTTTTTTTTTTGAAGCTGATCCCCAAAAATTCAAGTTGTACTTGAATTTTGTGGGATTCATTATAGCGTCAAATTATCTTTCCCTCTTCTCACCCACTCATAACCGTCTTTTTTCTCTTTCTCGTTCCAGTCCAACAACCCCTTTCCTATCATTCAACTGAAACTCTCTTTCTCTCTATTTAAAGACCCTCTCTCTCTCCCCCTCAATGGAGCCCCTCTAAACCCTAATCTCTCTCTCACCACTTAGTTCAGCCCCCCAAATCTCTCTCTCTCTCTCTCTCTCTCTCTCTCTCTCTCTCTCTCTCTCTCTCTCTACTACTACTACTACGTACGTACGTACGTACTACGTAACGTAAGTAACGTACGTACGTACGTAGTACGTAAGTAAAGTAAGGTAACGGTAACGGTAACG